GCGAAAGTAATTGACGCAAATTTCGTTACTAATTCGAGTAGCTGATCCCGTCGCGAAACCGTAGACTCACGTTTCGTTGCGCGCGTGCAATACTTTCCGCGCGGGAATGAACGCACACGCGTTCGCGCACGCGACCGTGCAGCGAGTTAATTGGACATCGTAACCGTACAAGCTATACATATGTGTCTATTAATTGATGCGCTGCTTTCCTACACGAATATTATTATATAATGCACTGTCGTCCTACGTGTGTATGCAGAGTTCTCGTTCGTTTTCGCTTCTATCCCTGTCTCTCTCCCTCTCTCTCTCTGTTTTCCCTCCCCTCCTCCCAACCCTCTCGTTTACAAGTTCCGTTCGAAGCGTGCTTTTAATCAGCGTCGACTCGTCTCGAATATTCCGACCCGGCATTGTGTTTTTCCATACCCACCTGGACCGCTCGTTCGACAATTATGCTATTCCCTTTCACGCGACGTTCGCGATTCATTAACACTACAACTAACCAGACTGCTCGAAACAACTGATCTCGGATGAGATCGGAGATACGAGCTCCCCCATCGGAAATTTTTAAACGAATCCGCGTTTCGTTCGCGCACGTATATCGTCGCCACGGTGAACACCGCGCGAAATTTCGAGGGACACGCGGCCGCGATTCTTTCTAAAAAAGTATAAATCAGTGTGTTCCGCTGATTGATTGGTTGTGGTTCTTAGCGTTGGAACGCTGCATTATTCTGATCGTTCGAGTAGGATCTGGATTCCCGGTAAACGTATCGGGGTTTACTTCAAGTCAAATTGATCTTTATTGCTGTCCTCGTTTGAACGAGAGCAATTCAAGGATGCGTCGTACAAGTGTCCCGGGTACAGCATTAAAAATCGTCCTCGTATATCACGCATAACGGGTTCCGTAATGGATCAGCGCCTCTCCGCGATGCTTCCGTACCGTTGGACCGCAATATATCATTCAGAGAAACCAATAACAGCGATATGAGTTTCTAAATTCTATAAAATAAAAACTTTCGTCGCGCGCCTCGACGGCCGTGCGCGCGACTCGACTCAACGGCGTGCCCTCGATAGAGGGTATTTAATCGGGAACGCGCGTCGCGAAAGCTTTCGCAAAGCTTCCGGGCGTGTATTATCAATTTATAAAAGATGGCTCCGTGGTTACACACGAACGTACATCTGTCCGGCATCTTGTACAATTCACCTAAGGGCTGCTCGAAATCGCGTTCATCCAATTCACAAATACGTTTCGCCGTCACGACTAGCATCTACCCCTTTGCCACGAATTGAATCCGACAGGTTTACCACCGCGATAAATCCGCTGTATAATGTGTATGTATATATAATATATATATATTTATATATATATATGTATGTATAGATGATAATTAAATTGCACTAATACATTGCACACGTTCTCCGAAGTTCTTTGGCATCTCTATGAAGTACATATTTCGTTCTAAATTTCTAAGGAGTGACAACACGCGGGATGGCAGGGGACAAGAAACGCTTATCCGTCATCCGTCCGACGTCATTCCTAACCATTCACCCGCTACACCCTCTCTACGCAACCCCTAAACCGTTCGTTTATATGTGTATACGTCTAGTCTATCTCTGTCGAGCGTCGCGCCGCTCGCCAATTGTAGAGCCGTTCGTCGAATTCGTCGACCCATTTTGAAAAATCGCTCGTCCGTACGGGACTCCGTTACGATTCGCGTTTAATAGTGGATCATAGACACACATACATGCATTACAAACATACGTAACTTAACATATCTAGCTAACAACGGATCGAACACCGGCCGCCGTCTATTCTTTCGGGGCGAAGACACAAGGCAGTCACTCCGTTACCTTCGTTCTAGCTTGTTAATCAGGGAAGACGAGTTCGTTCGTCGTTCTACTGGTTCTTCGTTTTTCTATTCTCATTCCTCTTTAATCGCTCTTACGACCGTAAGCTACTCAATCGACGAGTTAACCCCTCCACGCGCGTACTACGAAACCCCTTTCTAAGTGTGCGACGTCTGAGTGTTCCCTCGCGAACGTGTGAAAATCGGAGTGTATCTCGAAGTTTACAGTTTCGTTATAAAATTCGCTCGTGCCCGGTAAATACGCGGCGACCCGTCAAAGGGTTTAAGTAGGTTCGTTTCGTTTTACAGCGTCGAATCTTCGTACACTTTCACTCTCCGAGTCGGGCGGCGTTCTAGATCATGCTACCGGGTGTACCGTGTGTCCTCGCGCCCACGCGAAACTCGTCGCGTTTCCATTGATATCGTCGGGCTATGGTTGCGCGTGTGCGACGCGGCTTCGCAGGAAGCGGGAAGAAGAAAATATATATGGTAACGTACAGCCTTTGGGTTGGTCACATAGGAATCTCGTTTTCAGTAGGAGCGTTCTTACACGTGTAACGTTAACAGGAAGTAATGAGGAAACAGGAGCGAAGACAGGGAAACTGGGCTGTGGTATGATATATCGCCATCATCATTATCATCATCATCATCATCATCATCATCATCATCATCATCATCATCATCATCATCATCATCATCGTCATCATCATCATCATCATCATCATCGTCATCATCATCATCATCATCATCTGAACATTCTGTTTACGGTGGCTGTTGCGAGGCAGCGTTATAGAAACTCGCTCTCTGATTCCTGTACTGCGAGGCGACCACCGCTTGAGGGTTGGGTATATGCCTGATACCCAAGTTCGGCTTGATCTTCATCCCGAAACCGGAGATTCTCTGATGTGGCTGCGGTATCCGAAGTGCCACCTTGCTGGCTATGTTCGCCGAGCTGAGCACCAGAGGGTCCACCGTGCTCTTATCCCCGATGCATCCGCTCAGTAAGGACACCGCAGCGTCGGAGAGCGTGACCAGATTGGATTCCTGGCCGCGGCGTTGATCCAAATCCTTCGGCTTGCCTCGCAGCAGGCTTCCGGTTGCGATCCCGGGCCGCGGCGGCCGGGAATTCAACGAGGACACCGAACAGGAGGAGGACGAGGACGAGGACGAAGAGGAAGATGGGGACGAAGATGAGGACGAAGGCGAGGGCGACGAAGACGACAACGAGGAGAAGTTGCCAGCCGATAAATTGGCCGACAAGTCGAGGACGTTGTTGTGCACGGTGGTCCCGCCGCTGCTCAGATCCAACGGGGTCTCGTACTTGGAATTGTTCGGCTCTAAAATGGCGCTCGACGCGGCGAAGCCGGACGGCTTCGCGACTCGGAGGGGTGCCAGCGGCGGCGGGCCTTTCTTCTTCGGAACGGTATTGACCGGCACAGGCGGGGGTGGTTGTTCCTCTTTTGTCTTCGACATGATGCTCTTGAGCGTGTCGCGCATCTGTTTCTCGGCCAACAAGCTCCTCACTCGGTTCGCCTTGCTCTCGCGCAGTTGCTTCTCGAGTTTCTCCCGATCCAAGCTGTCGATCTTCTCCCCGTTGTTCTGGACACGTTGCTTCGCCTTCTCGCGGAACTTGTCACCGGCCTCGTTCACCGCGACCAAACCTAACCGTCGTAGGATCTCCTCGTCTTTCTTAGGTCGCTCCACTTCGACCTGCTCGGCCGGCTTCGCTGCATCCAGTTCGATTTCCTCCTTTGATTTAGGTGGAGGTCTGCAAGCTGTCGATACGCTCCTCTGCTCTATTCTTTCCGTACCCGCGGACGCTTCCTCGGCTTGCGTGGTGATGTTTTGTGCGATTCTGACCACCTCGTCCGGTATACTGTCTATAATTTCCTCGATAGTCTCTTCGGTCTCCCCGATACCGTCTTTGGCACCATCTTCCCGGACCAAGGAACTCGTCGATCGTTGCTGGCCTAGTGCAGTCGCTTTGATCTTCTCTCTTCTAACGGCTCTCATCTGTAACAATTTCTCCTTGGTCTGGCCGCTGGCCGACGTCGACGTGATCCTCGGCGGACACGGCGTGAGGCGGACCTTCAGCTTCAGCAGATCCTCCCTCGGCGTGGTGGTGATTTCCGCTATAACCCGTTTGTTCCGTCGTTTCCTGCGCTTCCTGTGCTCCAGCCTGGCCAGCTCTTTGGTCTTCGAGCTCTCCGGCACGTGATTCGGTTGCATCGGCACGAGATCGGGCGTCCTCATGACGGGCGTCACCTCGCAGCGGGGTTTCTTTGCCTTCGGCTCCTTGTCGCGTTCCAGATTCGCCTCCAGGGACCGAGCCGGCTCGGTGCTACTTTCTAAAATCCTACGAGCCTCGACTTCGCATTCTTGGACTGGCTTGGGACTCGGCGGCGGTGTCGGCGGCCTTTGAATGTTCTCCATGGTCGGGACATCCTTGCTCGTTTCGTTGTTGTAAGGACTCACTCTCGACACGGACACCGCGTTACTATCCTTTCGCGTCAGCCGGTAAAACAGCTTCATAGGCGAGTCCTGTAACGTGAAAATCGTCGCTTCTCCTATGGTATCTATCGTTCGTCTTCGTGTCCGAAACGCGCTGGCGGCAAACGAATTTCGGAACGCGAGCAAGGCAAACTATTGGTTTCATTATCATGCCACGATGGATCAGCGATAGGAGCAAGTAGCAAACTAAAAGAAATTAACGGACTCACCCTTTTCCAGCCGAATATGCAAGCGAGATCCAGCAGAGTCCACGAGTGGTCCAGAGATATCATCTTGGGGGTGTCCAGCCGCTGCTCGTTGCTCCGCTCGCACAGCATCTCTATCTTGTTCACCCCGAGGGAGTTCACCTCTTCCCAGCCTCTCTTCAGCATCAGCAGTCTCACCAGATGTCGGACCGTCACGCCGGCAGGACATTTCAGGTATCTTGTACTTCTGATCCGTGTCGCCTCTTCGTGGTTCGGCTGGTCAACGTTCGCCCGTGGTCTTGACCCGGCGAAACTTTCCGGTGATTGATCGCGCGCTTCGTCTTCCGGTTCATCGAGCGCGCACAGGCTTAGACTAACAAAATCGTCCAAGGTTAGGTCGAGAGCGCCCAAAGGTGGGGCCAACGGTGGACACTGCGGGTTCACCAGCCGGAAGTGGCGCCTTCGTTCGAGCTCGGACCGGAACAGGCCCGGTACCAGCAGATAGACCAGTCGTTGCAGCTTCACGTCCGGCAGCAGGGGCGGAGACGTCGCGACGTTGCACACGGGACACGCTCGTGCACCGCTACTCAGCCGTCTGACTATGCAACCTCTGCAAACTGAGCGTCGTCCGCCTTGTACTTTAGCTCGCGTCGTCTTTTTGTGGGTCATCCCACGAGCACCGCGACTTTACCACGCAATTCACCGCGAGACTTCTCGCTCGCGACCATTAAACACCGGAAACGCGTTTCTACTGTTACCGAAAAGTTCGCGTTACTCGTGCAATTCCTTCGCGATCGGATTATTCACCTGTCGGCGATCTCTCTGTTACGTTTTCGATCCGAAGTTATTTATCTCGCGTTGAATCTTTGTAATCATTTTCATGCTTCGTTATTCGAGTTGTTTTTGAAGTACGCACCGGATCGGGTTCAGACAAATTAGAAAGCACAACGAAGAGCGCGTCGGTTAGTCACCCTCCATGAATTCAGATGCCCCGCCAGAAGGGCGGACAACCGTACGGGCTGTTTCACGCACACGAAGTAGATACAGCCGTTCGAGGCACGGCGCGGTGCGGCGCAGCGGCGCGTACGAATAGCTCGAGTATTGCGATCGGACGGCTTTATTACCCGGCCATACAGGGTGTGCTGGTAATCTTGGCATTATCAATGTTGATTCTAAGTAGCAAAATAATACGAAGATGTATGGTAAAGTATTCTTGTCGCACAGTTCGCCTTTAATAAGATGTACATTCACACGATTAGCAATTCCGCTAAGTAGAATCAGCGAGCAATGAACAGTGACTTGTTCCATACTGTCTGCGAGTATGCGTATTCAATTCGAATTGTGCTACAGTTACCAGACACCCCGGGCATTTTGCCTTGTAAATCGATGCTAATAAGCGGATGACACGCGATTCGAGCACAGACAGACAAACATTACTCCCGATCGATCGGGCGAAAGTGTTCCGATTGATAGAAAGTGTATACTAACAAGAATGCAGGCACTCTACGAGCGTCGTTGCGTCAATGAGGTAGCCCCTGCAGAGAGGGCACACGATATGTTCGTTCAACTCTTTAACCAGCGGCTTCTCCCTCTCCGTCGCCTCCATGTCGATGTTCGGTTCTGAAACAGCTGTGACGGTCCGTTGGTTAATCCGCGGCTGTCGGATCGGGGACGATTAAAAATCGTTTAATCGCGGCCGGCGCGATGACGGTCCACCAGACGTGTGCCGCGCACCGTTCGTAGGATCGTCGCATTTATTTTCTCCCTCGATACGCGCGAGTTCGCTTGCGCGTCGCGTCGCTGCGACTCGTCTCGTTCGACGTACGAGGATCCGCCGGGTATCCGAATGATCTTTCGCTTATCTAAAATTAAATCGCGTTACGCGGGTCATTAGTACCGGCACCGGTGACGTCGATACGCGCGAGCGTTCTGGCAGGGGCGGCGGAGGATGTCGAAACGCAGGTAGCCGGCCGCGCGCACTGTCCCCACGGGAATTCACGCAGGTAATCTGGCTGGGGCGCACGCCGGCCGGCGATTTCCGTTTAACCGAGACACCGACGGATCGCCGGTATATTTAGAATAACGAAATATCTCGTGGAAATCCTGTCGCGGGAAAGCGTTGCGCAGCCACTTTAAGGTCTATCTCTTAAAGGGGATGCTTTCTCTCTCCTCGATCCCTTCCGCGCCGCGTGCACCGTTTAATAATTTCGACTAGACGAACTGGTACACCTCGATAGCCGCGAGAATCGTATGCGAAGTCGGTCAACTCGCTCGTATCGCGCGAGCGAATCGCTTTTCGCACGAATACCGTTTCAACCGTTGGCTACTCCTCGCCGAGTCTGAGTTAGCGCGTTCGCCGCGAAAAATGCCTCTGCTTTTTCCCCGTTCCTCGGTCGTTTGAATCCTGCCCACGGATCCTGTTCGATCCGCGCGGCCGGCGGATCGTCGATCGGGGATTTATTCAATTCGATCGCGGTTGTCGCGTCGAGGGGATTAAAGAAACGCCTCGGTGCGAGAGGCGGGATTATCGGAACCGAACACGAGCCGAACAACGAGGTCCTCGCGTGAAAGGTACTTGACAGTGAAACCGGCCGGTCACGCGACACCACGTCGACCTGGAAAAACTAGGTTTTTAGAGCTACCGCGGCGCGGATCTACACGGGCCCGTACACGTTACGATTTATCGTGCCGCCACTTCGTTTGATAGCGCGCATTTCAACGGTGCGACGAGCTCGTCGTAAAATCCGCAATAGCACGAGTTGGAAAGGAGTTCGTCGGTTCGTTAATACGAGGAATGTACCGTCTATTACACGAAACATTCTCCTTTTTAAGAACAAGGGATCGAGAACAACCGAGTTTATTTCGATTTTCACTGAATTTATTCGAATCAAGAGAACCGGGATCAATGTTTATTTACATGGCTCACGGGCTTGAACCTTAAAAGCTTCGAGAAACTGGAGCTCTGCGAGTTTACCTCGCAGCGGTGCGTTGGGGAATGCGAGCAATTCTATAAAAGAACACGACATTCATTTGAATTGTTTTTCCGTAGAATATCCGGACGATGAGTCGACATGCAGCATTCGACGGTTTGGAAAACGATTCGCGTGTGACGAGCTCGCGAGCACGGGGCAAGTGTCACTGCGCATGGCCGGCGAAACTGGCCGGAAAGGAAGGCTCGACCACCTGCGTACGGGAATAACACAGTCGGCTACTCGTGTTCAGGCAATTTCGGTTTGGTGAATGATTCGCCAAGGCCGGGAACACGGCGGAGACACGAAAGTGGAGTCACCAGGAATGAACAGGAGAGCGAGAGGAAGAGGAGGAAGAAGAAGAAAAGGAGGAGGAGGCGGAGGAGGAGGCGGCGGAAGCAGGGGGAGAGAGAAAGAGGGAGAAATAGGACAGTAGGAGAAGGGAGAGAGAGGAACAGAAACAGAGGCAGGGAGGCAGGGGAGGGGAGCAGTAGAAGGGTCTCTGGACTCGGACTTGAGAAAGGTCTGGCGCCAAGCCGGCAGAGGACGAATTCGTTCGCGGTGATCCTCGCGGAGCGGTTCCCTCGAGGGCGTTCGCGATCGAAATTTTTCATCGGCTCGGGACGAACAAGCTCTATTCCCCGATTCCGGTCACGTTCTCT